TTCATAAATTATATGAAATTTATATAATTTATATAATTTATTTTGGGAAAAATATAAATTATTATAATTTAACAACCCTACATATTATAGATAATATTTAACGGCTATCTATGAAAACCTATAAAATTACATACAATCACAATTAAAATAGAAATTTATTTTGTAAAATGAAATTAATTAGAAGTAATTGATTAGAGATAAGGGGAGGGGTGGGGAGGGAAGAGAGAAAATCTATGTTAAAAAGGGAAATAGAAATTGAATATTAGAGCCAGTACAGGTCCAATATGTTCAAGATTGTTTTTAGTTGGATTGTAATTTACAATGTAGCACAACTTTATTACATAGCCATAAATACAGACTTCATTGATGTTTAGATAACCAAATGCATGGACATGATTATTTATTAATAAGTGATGTTTTGTGGTACTGTAGTTAACTAATAATGCTATGCTATATACATCAAACAAATAGTTTTGTAAAATGTTTAATATAAATAATATAATAATTATTATTATGAAGTTCAGTGTTGTCTTGGGCATTAAATAAATTAATATTAAAATTATAAAAGTAAATCGTATTATTTTGATTTCTAAAGTAATATCGTGATATTAATAAAACTTATATAAGTAACATACATATACTTGTATATTGTGGTGACATATCGTATTTTATATATAAACCTATGCTGGTATTAAATAATAAAATATATAACAATAACTAACTTAATTTTTATTTATCATAAAAAATTTAATCCATTTCTGTAACTATATACAAATTATGATGCTTATTTTAATTTCAAAAAACATTTTTAAAATAACATTTTATAATAATTATAAAATAAATTCTAGTTGTTAAGTATTAATAATGTTATCCTGATCAGTTTCTTCAATAGTATCGGGAATCTCGCGACCTTTAGTTTCAGGTAATAATAGCACAATAAGGGCTCCGACACCCGATAACACGCCGTATAGTATCATAACCGGCGCTAAGCCATGAATAGCCGCCTATTTATAACAATATGTGTTGTAATAAAAATTAAATTTATTTTATTTGTTTTAATTAAAGAATAAATTTATAATAATTTTTAATTAATTACTAGTTTAAAAATTAAATTGTTACAGCATATACAGTGCGGACCACTTATTATGTTACAAATTTGAATTTAATTTTTAAAAAAAGTATTTTAGTTACAACATTGAAAACACCATCAAACTGTAGATTATTTATTAATCTTTCATTTGATATATTATTTGACAACATAAACACAAAAATAAAATTATTTTCAACAGTTTTTGTGAATCATCTATCGGCCAGTCTTCAAATTCAAATTTGTAACAGAATAAGTGGTCCCCACTGTATTAGTTTAATTTAAAAATTATAACTTGTTAATTGCTGTAATCAATCTTGTTAAGTTTTCTAAAAAATATTAACAAAAACTTACCAAATTTTTCATGTATGGCGCACTTATTGAACCGAGACGTCCGACTACCTGTGCGACACCCATACCCCTATGCCTGATAACCGTTGGATACAACTCGGGTCCGACAACTGCCATAACATTCCAGGCGCTGTTGACTCCAAACTTGCCTATGAGTGCCAACAGGACTGTTAGCCACTCAGCCCGGGAGCCGATGATCGCCAGACACGATACGCACGTTATGGTCAAAAATGTAGAAAACAGTAGTCGACGTCCAAACAGTCGGAAAAATACCACGGTCAATAATTGTGATGGCAACTCAACTAGGCCTGATAGTAGAAAGGTGATGTAAAAATTTCCACCAAAATCGGACATGTTCAAACTAATTCCGTAATATAACAAGGCAACAACGGCATGCGTGTACCACATTATCATGGAGATTTTTCTAAGGTTTGATGTTTTAACTAGGTCCAATACGGTGTGATTTTGTTTAGATTTGTCGCTCGATTGAACCTGGACATATAATAAAGTGAATTAAATTTTAACTGTATAAGTTACACTACAGCTACGATGTACACTCGAGCCAATCCGGGCCACACTATGAGTGACAAAACTTAGAACATTTTAACATTAATCTCAATACTGCCTAATATTATAATGTTTACAGTTTTGTCACTGTTAATGTGGCCCGGATTACAATGTAGGCGCATCGTAGCACTACAGTAATGCTTTCTTATATTACAAGTGGTTAATTAGTTTTTGTTTATTTACAGTATATTATTTAAACATTTACTAACTACTGTACTGTTTGCTACTGTTTAACCAAAACATAAATTATTTAAGAATTTAAGTTATTTTATTTATTTACATTTTAAAACTTAAAATACTCAAAATACTTAATTGCCTTAATTACCTTGATTATTTTTATTATACTTTTATAAAAATATAAGTAAAAATTGTCTTACATTTTGTAAATACTCTGACAGTCCCTTCAACTGATCGCCAAGATTTTCATCGGATAGTCCGTTAGTTTTCAGTGCCTTTCGTAGTATATGTTCCGCACGACCGACACGTCCGGTGCTAAGCAGCCAACGGGGACTTTCACACAGGAAATAGTACCACAATAACAGAAAAATGGTAGCAATGAGCGAGGTTAGTTGCATATATCTATAGTCCCGGAGCCAATACGCCAAGCCTGGTATAGCCGCATAGCCCAGCACC